CTTAATATATTCATCCACAGAGTTGATGTGATCAGTGAAATGTTGGACTTCCTGGGCTTTCATTTTAACCCAGGTGTCTGAATGAACATTCAGTGCAAATGTGTATCAAAGTGACACATTTGCTTTATTTTCTAGCTTAGTGCTGCTGTTTATTAGTGTACAGTTTTTACAGGAAACTGTATTTTGTGTGTTTGGTTCGACCCCAGTGTGAGTCAGTGTGAGACGTTGTGATGTGTTCCTCCAGCCCCTCGTTCATTATTCATTAACACCTCCATTAAAAACTGCACACACAGCAGAACGGTTAGGCTGGGTCTCTTTGTTTAAATGTGTGTTAAAATGTGTCGACTGTGTGTTTGTGTCCTTTTCAACTTGCTGCTCAGATCTGTTTGTGTATTTCTGTCTACAGTATAAAAAGTAAACACACAAACTGTATATTATAGGGCTGCAACCATACAGAAAATTCTCTCCCTCTCTCTCTCTCTCTCTCTCTCTCTCTCTCTCTCTCTCTCTCTCTTTATTTTCTCTCGGTCTCATTGTGTTGTTTCTGTGTAACTGTGAGCCCTTTGTGTCCCTCCATCAAACACATTTCCTGCAGCCATCCACGCAGAAAACACAGGAATAATGGTTGAACCTCTTCGTTTGTTCGTCCTGTACTTAAAGAGTCAGAATGTGTTCCTTCTTAAACTTTGTGCTGAAAATTATATTAAAGGTTTTACTTTTAGTGGATCAAGAAGCTTAAATAACCAACAACTTGTTTTCAAACTCACTGTTGATCAAGAATCTGTAACCAACCTGTAAAAACACATTTCTTCTTCTTCTGTCRCTAAATAAAACTTAGTGCCAGTGGTGGTACCAGTCCACTAAAATACAAAAGCACTCATTGTTGGCCTAAATTTCTTTGTGCTTTAGAGATTTTACTAATTTCTTTAAATAACATGTGGATTTGAACTTTCTAAATTTAGAATTGAGTTGCACTAATTACATATAATATTACAAGTTCAATCATCAGTTTTATCTAAAAATAAGTGGAGAGCTGTGTAAACCCACTACATCCTGTAGGAATATATTTCATTAAAGTTTCATCATCATTTTCATAAACATTGGAGGGAAAATTAATAATAATAATAATAATAAAAGTTAATAATTAATAATATGGAGCTCCACTGTGTGGAAACAGCGCCCCCCTCAGGAAGCATCAGTCCTTTTTCCACCACTGAGTCCGGCTCTGCTCGGCTCAGTTCGGACCGGTTCTGAGCGGTTCTGCTCAGGTCTAGTTGTTTTTTCACTGTAACTAGTGTCTCTGTGGACAGTAACGTCTTTTAAAAATGGGTGGTTTAATTAAACTAGCAGCGCTAAAGCTAAAGCTGCTGTTTAGCATAGCTCATTCTGTGCTAAAGCTAACTGTTGACATCAAAAGTCTGATATTTAGTCTGTAAATAATAATCATATCCTGCTACAGCAAACTGTTGTTTATAAATGCTGTGAAACAAAATCAACATGATTTTCTAATAAATGAACTTACAGTTACTGCACACTTTATGACTACGAGTAAATATGTTGGGTTTTTTTCTTTATCTATTTAATTCAATGAGAAACAAACAGCAATGACAATAGTAGCTTTATTTCACAAAATAAAGGTCAGACAATATATAACTAGATTTAAAAAAACCACACAACAACCTAAAAAAGTACTTTAAAGTCTGAACATAACCGAAGCAGCTCTGAGCAGCTCTCCTGTAGCTGCCCAGCCTCTGGCTAACCACACCGTTAGCAGGGCAGCTAGCACCGATAGATGGAGGAGAAGGTGGAGAAACGTCCAGGAGCTCAGCTGGTCACTTGTTGAAGGTGACTGAACAGAAAACCAACGATTAGCCTCGAATATGGTTAAAATTAATTACTATTTACAATAAATGTAGAGCTGAGCTGTTGTTTTAGCCTTGGTTGCTAACTAGCAATAGCCGCTAGCTGCTAACTAGTTAGCATTGGAAACAAACATACACAAAGGACACATCTGAACAAAATTTATAAATAAAAGGTACAGTTTGACAAGCGAGACGTGTGTCCCATAAATTATGTTCAATATTTGACTAAATGCATGAAGCACTCACCGTCTGCAGATGAGTTTGTGACAAGACCAGTCTACAGTTAGCAGCAGCTAACTAGCCAACCAACCACCCAACCAACCAAAAAACCAATCAATCAACCAACCAACCACCCAACCAACCAACCAACCAACCACCCAACCACCCAACCACCCAACCAACCAACCAACCAACCAACCAACCAACCAACCAACCAACCAACCAACCAACCAACCAACCACCCAACCAACCA